TTTACCTGGTTTCATTTCAACCAATGAACATAACTAAGCCGTCAGTGTTTGAGAAGCATTTGCAAGTGTATTGTCAGGTCGGCTATTCAATTGTTGGAATACTATCTGTGGGTTATCCAACTTAAACAGAAAATTGTTATTTCTCTGTGAAAATCTCACAATGACCACCAGTCATCCTGCCCATAGGCCATAGGTTCCCGTATGCTGAATTTTTAAAAAATGTGTTAGGAAAGAATCAATCTTGAAGTGTGACAAGAGTGATTATTGAGTAGCAGAAGAGAAATCTCACTAGAGGGAAAGGAGACAGAAAGTGGAAAGGCAAGTGAACAATATAAAATTAGGTCTTGTTGGTGCTGCTAGGGGTTGAAGAAGACATCAACGTCCATGACCCCAAACTTTTAGCAAAATTATGGTTGTTTTTTTAGCTAAATGTGTATTTGTAGAGTGTTTTGAGAATAAAAATATTAGTTCTAGCATGTGGAAGATCTACTCTGAATCATAAGAAATTGTTACGTTAAATTTTTATTTGAAATATCTTATTTTCATTATAGATACATTGATGATGGAGCTTAAAACATGAACAATGGAACATGAGATAGTATCATACAGTTGTTAGACATGATTTTTTTGGACCCTTTTATGTAAAATGATGTGCAATACATTTCTAGGATTTGATAAAAGATTGTTGTATTTCAATGTTAGGATTACACTCTTAATTATATTATCAATTTACCTTAATATCTTCTTTTTTTTCTTTTTGGACTTTAGGGTAGGAACTGTAGAGGGATAAGTTCTTATCGGTTTGAAGAATAGTACTTTTATTGAATAAGTTAAGGTCTTACAATTCAACATTGATGTAAAGTAGGAGGTGAATCCTTGAGTTGAAATTATGATAATGCTATATCAAGTTATTTCTATTTTCTACCATATATATAAGGGTTTTATGTTGAGTTATCATCCATGAACAATTTTGAGCCAAATCTTTCTTGGGCTTGAAGTGCAAATTGCAAACATGACATGCTTGATTTTGTTCAATACCCATAGGCAATAGAACAAGTTAAGGCATCAAAATTGGTTGATTGTAATTCCTGCTTCTTGTGTGCTTCACTAATGTGCAGCGCTATGGCGCTTCCCACCTACAGAGAATAGTTTTGAGCATAACTTGCTAGGTTGCTTGCTTTTTTCATTTTTATTGAAAACTTCTTTTCCTGTTCACAATGGAGCATTGGAAACTCATTTTTGAGCCGAACTTGTACTGTTACTTGCACTTCCTTAGTAGAACTTCTCCCATGTTTCAATTGGAGTTGTTGAAAACTGATAACTTTTTATATGTCAAATCGTAACTATGCCTTGTTTTTTCAAGGGTTCGAGGAGAACTTGACGCTCTAGATCCCTGATGTTGCTTGAGGCTTCAAATACAATAGAAGCACTTGCTTGAGTGAAGTAGGAAAGATAAACGTGTAGTTTTATAAGTTCTCTCTCGGTGTGTCTTTGTGTGTGCGTGTGTGTATAACAAGCTTAAGATATATAATTCTGTTAATAAACTCTAAAGATTGATCTAATATATGCATGATTTCCTCATTGTTGTTTTATTGAACATTAAGTGGAGAGTTTGATACCGTTCCTCTTTTTATTGTTAAAATTATAGTTATTGAAGAAAATTACAGAGCTAAAAATATAAATACAATTAAAGAGGAGTGAGAAAGTACTTTTCGGGGGGCATATTGCCTGATAGAAAAGGATGGCCAGGCTCAACAGGCATGCAGTTGATCAGAGGTGCCTTGCCAAAAGGGTCTAACATGGTTTTGTGGTCCAGAGCTAAGGTGCAGGGTTTACCTTATCAACCTTCACCATGTCGCAGTGTTCGATCGTGAATTGGTTTTAACATTATTCATCCTTAGTTTTGACTGAATTATCTTTCATATGAAACTTTTATTCATTATTTACCTGGTTGATTTTGTATCTAATTTTTCCATTTGTCAAGTATTTTATTGATTTTTGCTCTTTGCTTTTGTTAGCAACACTTTTGTGTTTATTTGACTTTGCCCATGCAGCGAGATGATGTAACATAGGCCCTACACACAAAAAGTAGACGTGTATAGTTTTGGAATTGTGCTCTGGGAGCTTATTACTGGGTTGCTTCCTTTCCAGAACATGACCGCCGTGCAAGCAGCATTTGCAGTGGTGAACAAGGGTGTTAGGCCAGTTATTCCAAATGATTGTCTCCCTGTGCTGAGTGAGATCATGACCCGATGCTGGGACACTAACCCAGAAGTCCGTCCTCCCTTCACAGAAATTGTAAAGATGCTTAAGAATGCACAAACTGAGATAATGATAACTGTTCGTAATGCCCGCTTCAGATGTTGCATGAACTCAACCTATGAAAATTGATTGATCCAACAATACAAGTGTGGAGAAATGATAAATGAAAAGAAAAAACAGGAGCAGTATATTTTAGGTATATTGGTGTATGTATCGTCCCATCGTACGATTCACATTGCCCCCCCCCCCTCACCACAAAACAAAAAAGTCTTATGTTGATTCGGCTTTCAGTGACACCAGTGCCACAGCATCAAATTGCATTATGGCAAGGGGCTGTAATCGGATAGTTGTGAGTGGTATGTGCGGTCAAATTGACCCTCCCTTCTCGGTTGAATCTTCGGAAGTGGCAACCTTCATCACAGGGTTAAAGTTTACGATCGAGAACGGATGGACGGACGCTATCATTAAAGAAGGTGTTATCTCTATTGTGAATAGAATTTACATTCGACATAAGGCGTTTCAACCATCGGATTGTTGCTCAACGAGACACATGAAATTCTGGCCAGTAATCGAGAGCTCAAGGTGTTTTACGTTAATTGAGAAGTCAATCGAGTTGCTCACTCTCTGGCCCAATGATATTTCTAAGCCCGATTGTATTAAGTTTGATGTAATCAATGATGCCATTTGAATCTAATGAAATTCTTCCTTTAAAAAAATTAATAATTTGTGGAATGGTTTATGGTGGTTGGGAGTGATACCCTCCTAAATTATTTTGGTATAAAGTTATTTTTTTTAAATTTAGATCTTAGTCAAATAAAATATTTCTTTTCTTTTTTATCTAAAAATCATCCAAAAACTAAAAATATAACAGAATAACATCATTTCATCTTTATTTACCAAACTAGCACCATTTCGAATATTTTAATAAGGAGGCATGCCTTGCTGACGTGGCCAGAAGGCTCGTCCTATGGGGAGCTTTCTACAAGTTCTAGTTAAGGTGGCATGCCTTCTAGTTAAGGTGGCACATCCTAAGGAGAGCACCTTACACTGAGGTGGCAAGATAACTATGGGAGCGCGCTGTGGGTGAGCCTTTCCAAAATTTTTATAAAGCATATTTAAAAAGCTAAATTTTTAAAAAAATAAAATTAAGGGAATCGATAATATAATTTAATATATATTAGTTCCATGAGTTAAATAGTGTAATTGTGTAAGTTTATATAGGCATAATTGAATGTTTAGGCTATATCCATTAGTATTGTGAGATAAAAGCTAAAAAAGATTTTTTTTAACCTTTTTCTCATGCAATTTTTATTTTTTAATTTTTATTTAGTCCATTAAATTCTATTAATAACATATATATGAATCAAAATTAAATATTTGATATTCTAAATATTAAATAATTAATCCTATAAATTATTTTATTAAATTTATTTGTATAAATATTTAACTGTTAGAATCTTTTATAGTGAATAGTAAGCTATTACAATATAATTAATTACTATTTTTATATATTTTTAGGTATTAAGAATAATATTTAAAAATAAAAATAAAAATTAGTGATATGATGAATTTAAATTTTAATAAATTTATTTTTATTAAAAGTTAATTTTTTATATTTATTTATGTCAATATAACTATTCATATTTTTATATAAGTTCAACTTAAATTATAGATATAAGTTTAACTTAAATTATAGATATAAGTTTTTAATCTCAAACTGAATTTGATGATGTTTTGTAAAAATGTTATAAAATATATAATTATTTATTTAATTTTAATTTTAATGTAAATATTCTCATCAAAATATTTCTTAACATAATTTATCTCATAATTAAAAAATAAATATTGAAATATTTTAACATATAAAAATATTTAATTTTAATTAATATAAACTCTAATTTATATTTTAATTATAAAATAAAAAAATCTAATTTAATGGGTTAAATAAAAATAAAAAGTTAAATATTACATAAGAAAAAGATAGAAGAATTTCTTTTTAGCTTTTATCTCATATTGCTAAAAGATACAACTTAAACACTCTACTATGCCTATATAAACTTACATCATTAGACTTTTAACTCATAGATCTAATATGTATTAAATTACATTGTTAGTCATTATAGTTTTATATTTTAAAATTTCTTTTAAAGTGTATATTTTAAATATGCTTTATAAGAATCTGGGAAAGGGTCGTCCCATAAGATATGCTTCCTAGTTGTCTTGTCAACTCAGCGTAAAATATTCCTCTTTCGATGTGACTCTCAGTTGACATGTCACCCCAACTGAAACTCTTGGAAAACTCGCATTTTAAGAGTTTTTTTGACCTTGTCAGCAACGCACATTTCTTGAAATACACCTCCTTATTAAATTATTCAAACGAGTGCCTGGTAAATAAAGGGAAAAGGTGTTACAGGGGTATTTTCTTAGTTTTTGAGTGATTTTTAGATGAAAAACCTTATTCTCTCAATTTTTAGATTTAAATATTTTATAAATTATTGTTATTTTAATATAAAATAATTTTATTCTCCGCATGTGATCGTAATTCTGTCTCTTGCTAAGAAATTTAATCTTTTTTTTTTTTTTATTTCTTAATTTTATTTTATTTAATCAAAGATTAAAAAAATTATAAAAACAAAATAAAATTTAATTGATAAAAAATTGTATGGCATTAATGAATTGTAAATAATGAATTATGACCTCAATCAAATATGAAAATCATCACTTTCACATGGAAAGACCTATAAATTCTCACTTCTCGAGAAATCGTCTGAGTCCGCAAAATTAGAATGACTTGAATTCTCCTGACATAAAAAAGAAAAGTGTTAAATTTCTAGTTTTACACAAGTTCAACTAATTTAATTAACTTACTAATTGTAGTGAAACTTGGGAACAGTTAGGGGAATCTCCTGGACTGCCATCTTCCATAGTTGAGTGCATGGTTTCTTCAGCAAGTTCTCGCAAGCGGTTGAGTTCCGGCAACACCACTTTGCCGAGATCCGGTCTATCTTTCCTCCTCAGTTCTGCACAGTTAAGCGCAATCTTAGCGAAGCTCAAGGCCTCTTGTTCAGGCCAATCATGAACAGTCGGGTCCAGCACTTGAGCAAAGCTCCCTCTTCCGATACACCGCTGCACATGGTGAGCCAATCCCATCGGTGATTTCGCTGTTATCATTTGCAGAAGCATGATCCCAAGGGAGTATATATCGGACTTTACTCCTAACATGCCTGTTTGTTGGTATTCCGGATCTATGTAACAGAAAGTTCCGGCGGCCGAGGTCATCCAATATTGTGTTACGTTGTCGGCCACCGATTGAGGAACTAGCCTGGCTAACCCGACATCGCTGATCTTGCTGACGTAGTTGCGGTCGAGTAAGATGTTGGCTGGTTTTAGATCACGGTGGACTATGGGTTCGGGTTTAGTCTGGTGGAGGAACAACAAGGCTGTTCCGACTTCGGCTGCGATTCGGAACCGAAGCTGCCAGGACAGGGTCGGAGTGTTTCCTCGACGGAAGAGACAATCCTCTAAGCTTCCCTTCGACATGAACTCGTATACTAGGCATCCGTACTCCGGACAGGCTCCCAATAGGAGGACCATTTTGGGATGCCGTATGCAGCTTAGAACCTCTACCTGTGATTAGTCCAATTGTTAAAATCAATTACCGACTCGACTAGAGTTTTGCTCACCTTACATACCTACATTGACATACCTCTCTCTGAAACTGTGACCTTCCGTGAGCCGTATCGGGGCGCAAGACCTTAATCGCGACTGGAGTATGGTCCAGATGAGCTTTATACACAGGGCCATAACCTCCTTCTCCAATCTTGAGAGCTTCCGAGAAGAATTCGGTGGCAGTTTCGATTTCCTCTATGGTGTACTTCCTGTACCTGAAATCTGTTTGCACTAGTGCATCAAGTGCCTTGGTCTTTTCCGCTTGTTCCTTGAGCGTTTTAATCTCTGCTTTCACTCTTTTCTGTGATTCAAGTTCCGCTGTTCTCCGAGCCGCTTCGGCCGCTTCCATTGCTGCTTTCGACTTAGCTTTCTCCTGTTCTACTACCGTTAACGCCGCTTCCTCGACAAGCCATGCCGCCTTCAATCTCCGTTCCTCTTCCATTTTCCACAGCTGGAGTTCTCTTGCCTGTTGTCATGTAATTCTAACTCTAGTCAAAGTGGGGGAGGGCTGTAACCATAGTATTAAATTACTGTCACAATATAATATAAATGACACATTATAATGTTTTTTCTAAGATTAGTGCAACATCGTAAAGGAAAACAAATATGTCGTAACGTTCACAATATTCACAACCACTACTGCAATCGCAATTTAGTACTATGGCGGTAACAAACATTTAAGCAGATTTTAGTTTACACTCTTTAAGTCTTAACCTTCTGTTTTGCTGTGAGTGCTTCTTTGCTGGCAGTACTATACATTTCCATAGTTTGCTTGAGCTCAAGTTTTAGCCTCCTCATTTCAGCTTCAACATCATCCTGCAAATTTCAAAAAAAAGAGGAAAGAACTCATCTATGCCATCACTTTGCCATCTTATGGATCTTAATTACTCACCGTTGATGCAGATAAGTCCGAGTGTCTGTCACTGTCCTGCGAAGAATATGAGAAATCATGTGGAGAGCTCATATCCATTGTGTTCTGTCCACACGGCACCACCGACTCGAAGCTCTGATCTCTTTCATTTTCTGAGAGGTTGGACAGCCTTGGAGCTGTGCCGGAGCTTCCGGAGCTCGCAAAGGATATATCAATGTCCCGCACAGGCGAAGGGAGCCCCGGAAATCGTTTGTTTACGCCTTTCCGGCTAAAAGGTGACCTGCATTCATCCAAGATTGCCAACAGCCTAGTTAACCATTAGCTACAACTACATAGAGAACGCTTTTATTAATACATAACGGAGAAAAAACCCGACAGTGTAAGCTACTTGCCTGATGCAATCCGTGGAATCGGTAGATTTACGCGGCTGTTCGGGTCGCGGCTTCTCAGTTGCCGGGACGATTTGCGACTCTGGAAGAGGGGAAGGAGCTGGTTTTAAGTTGGACTGGTTAAGAATTTGATTGCGCAATGGGGGGCTAGGTGGAGCAGGACGGGAAGCCGATCGCATGGATGAAATTTTGTTAATGGATATCACGTAAACACTACAAAAGTCTGGTGCGTTTTTTGATACGGTTCCTGTGATATCCGGTGCTTTAAATCTACTGAGAGAAGTTGAAATGGAAAGTGTGAACTTTGAATATTTATTTTATTAATTTTTATGCATAAAAATAAATAAAAATATCTCTAATATTTGATTAAATAATAATTTTTATTTTTTAAAAATATTTTAATCTCAATATTTTATTTTAGGGTAAAAAGACGTTCTATAGATCAAGAAACAAAGGGGTTATACTCCAAAATATAAGACCTTTTACTCTAAAATGAAAACTTAAGAGACAATACTCTAGAAAAGAACATCAATGACTAAAATAACTATTTAGTCAAACGTTGGAGGAGTTTTTCTTTAAAATGAACGGTATAAACATTAAATATTCTAAAAATTAGAAAATAAGTTAAAATGATTGTTTAATCATACAAGTTCTATTTTTATGGGATAAACTAAATGCTTAGTACCCAATCATTACTTTTATATTTTTTATAGAATAAAATGATCATCATCACTATTATTTTTTTTAAACGGAAGGTGACTCAATAAAATAAAAATATAATATTAAATATGATTTAAAAAAAAAATAGTGAGATGACTAAAATAAAATAATAGTGGTAATTTGAGTACTAAACATGTAATTTATCGAAAAATATATAATCTAAAATGACTATTTAATCAAATGTGTTGAAGAGATACATACTTGAGAAAACATAATCTTGTGGAGGCACCAATTACAAGAACCTCGATTACAGCATGTGTGGTATATTCAATCAATGCTTTAGCTACGTTAGTTTCTTCAAGAACAACATCCTTGCATCGTATCTAAAGTTAATAACATAATTAAAAATCAAACCTATTAGTTAATGCAAGCAATGAACTTGCACATGGGAATCAAACTTACATCCTTACGAGTGCAGAAGCAACGGAAAGGAAGAAAAACTTCCCTGGTCTGAGGGTCGGGATGTTTACACACAAATGGTAAACCACCAATGCTTTCAGCAAATTGGTTAAACCCTGTTAGGTACCACAAAATCGAACAAATCAGTAACGTGTACGACGTAATGTAATGATCGTATCGTAACGTTTTCCAAAACGTACGGGGCGGAGTCGAGTTGCAGCGTCTGGCTTTTACATGGATGAGAACAATGGTTTGGCCTCTCTGCAGGAGATGGTCGACTGCCCTACCATTGTTTTTCTGCAGAAGTATACTCTCTTTTTAAATTTTTGAAGAGAGCAGATTTAAACCCTAACCAACTATACCCTTGATTGTCAATGAAGTTGCTAGTTTAATTTTTCATTTTTTGATAGAAACAAATTTTTAATTTGTTTATGCAAAAGGAGGCCAAGCAACACCGACTACGACATTAACATATTCCGAGTTGAGAAGAGGAGAACGATTTTCCACCTCAATTGCACATTTTTCTTTCCATCGGTCGTGTTATTTTGGGTTAATTAATTTGGTAAAAATATAAACTTCAAATTGTACCATGGAAATCGGAGTTAAGAGTATGAAAGAGCGGCCTTGTTTTGCGGATGGTAAGGTGTTTGACCTCTTTTTTTATTATCATTTCTTGTCAACGTCCTCTCTAGTCTAGCCTCCACATTCAAACCAAGCCTTTTAATTGCTTGGTTTTTTCTTCTCTAATTTTCCCCATATACGTTGATAGGTTTATTGATGTACAATGGGAGAGATACTGATTGTCAATATTGGTGACTTGTAAATAAGAATAAAATAAAGGTTGAATATGCTGAGAGTTTTGAGAACATATGGTGCACCGGTGGTGGAAAGCAGGGATGGATCGTGGGGTGTTGGGGTGTGGGCACCCCCTAGAAATTTAAAATTTCTTTGTAGTTTAGATTTTTTTTTTGTATTTTATATGAATTATTTAATTTCGCACCCATTGGTTTTTATTATCTCGCACTCTTTAAGGTTTTAATATTTTTTTTATATTCATACCCCCTGACACAAATTAATGCTTCCGTCCCTGTTAACGATACAATGATTATTTTGTAATTGAATCACAAGTTTTATAAATATTGTAAAACTTTTGAAATTCAATGATTAAAAAATTATTTTAATACAGTTTAGTAATCATTAATATATTTTACTCAATTATTTTATAAAACTTAAGTCTTTTATGCTGGGATAAATAGGGATGTACAAAGTTGATTCAACTTGAAAACTGACTGAAATTGACTTAAGTCAAAATTGTTTGTGACATGAGTGGTGGTGATTCGAAACCGATTTGAGTTCGAACTGATGTTGACTTGAACCTGAGTTGGACCTGAAAATTGTGGATCTGAACCCGACCAACACCCAATTTGAGAACGACCTAAACCCGAATTGAACCGATAATATGATAACCGAACCCAACCTGCATCCAACTTATACAAACACGAACCCGATATTAACTTGGTAAATAACTGTTATAAATCTAACATGTTATGAACTTTACATGTAATTGACTCAACCTGTAAATAATCTGACTTGTTATTGACTTGATATGATATTTATCTGACTTGATATGATATTTATCTGACTTGATATTTACATGAATTATAAGTTACAATTGATGAAGTTATGATATTTTTAATTTATAATAAACTATGATAATTAATATGATTACTTTTTAGAAATTAAAACAAATTATTAGTATGATAATTAAATTAATAAATTTATTTTCGATATTAATTATAATCATTATTTTATAAATATTAATTATAATCATTATATTAATTTCATAAAATAATTTATTTATTAAACATGATTTTATTAGATTATATAAAATTAATTTAAATATTTAAAAGTTTAATTTATTTTTCATGTAATAATTAATTAATAATTTAAATATAATTTAACTTAAAATTTTAAAATATACATATAAGATGAATTTACTTGAGATTGAATATATAAATACTCAAATGAGTAGTGGGAGAAAACTTTTTAAAAAAAAAGTTTGTTTTTTTTTGGGAAAATTTGATTTTATTTGAGAATTTAGAAGCAAGAAATTGAGAAAAGCAAATTTCGAAGTTGGCGGCGGGGGAGAGATTGGTGTCCAATAAGATTTTTTAGGTTAATTAGGCTCACGCTCCTCCAACAATCATTGATTTTCCACTTTTTAATTTGATTTTTGATTTGTTTCATTTTAGTAACGTTTTAATAGTAAATCTCTTCTTGCATTTTCAATTCAATGCAATTTAATTATGTATACATTCTAACGACTTTTAATTTCCCATTCTTTCTTTAATGTGCATAATTATTAAATGTGAATATTAATTTTAGAATCTTTTATTTTAATTACTCATGTTTAATTGTATACTTATACACACACACGATTATGTACATACATCACATATATATACTTATATATGTACTTATGTACACACATATATATATATACTTGTGCACATACATCACATTACTTATATATATATATATACTTGTGTACATACATCACATATATATATATATATACTTATATATATATACATACATACATATGTATATACTTATATATATATATATATATATATATATATATATATACGTATGCACAAACACATATACATTCAAATTGGCTCGTGCTATTAAGGTGGTAGACTGTCGAACAGGAACCTGTGATTGTATATTGTAAATAATGGCAAGATCTCGAAACAACAACCCAACCTAAGTTGAATATAAAATAACCTATTAGTAAGAATCGTAAATTATGTGCATCATAAGCTTACCTGACTGTACTGAACTGACATAACTACCCATGAATATTTAAGGCCCACAAGCCACATAACACTAACATCGCTAATCCACTTTTCGCGAGTGTTTAGGCCTCACACCCTAGTTAGCCCTTGAAGTGCCTTGCACACTGGCAATGCCCCACTAGTGAAATTAAGGTAACCTGGGTATACCTAAACATAGCAGGAATCACTAAAGTGAAGTCAACATCACATTAGCTGCTATCTCGCTCACTTTCTCATCTAAAACGTTATGCAAAGGCTTATTTATTAACTCTGGAACTGACAAACCCAATATATGGCTCGGGTTCATTTCTGAGTAGTGTTACTCTATTCAACCTTATCGTAATTCCTTTTAGAACCTCTTAAACTAAAAAGGATGGCTTACTCTTCCTGGGTTCACTGACATTCTCGAAGCTCTTGCTTTTTACTACCATCAAATATGATATATTCATCGTACCGCTTAGCAGATATCTCCTGTAACGATCCTCGATCCCAATAATCCGTATACGTCCTCGATTAAAGATACTTCGGTGTATTTAGCTTAATATGGTTACACCTTATGTAACATACTCCTACGAGTGTTTTTAGGTATACTTAGTTATTTATGTCCCTTATGGACTAAGTCTTACTATTACGGATCGTACTTAGCTCTTACGGGCCTTAAATGGGTTAAATATAATCATCCAAAGTGAGTAGTATCAATACTCTACTTGCAGTATCCATGTCATAGGGTCAAATATCGATACTTCTATGAGTATCGATACCAAAAGTGTATTTTGTTACGAAAAAGGGGCCTTAGTATCGATACTGTCACCCTGAGTATGGATATTGCCCCACTTGGCAGTATAGATACTCCCTTATAAAATCCCTAATTTTAGCCCCAATTTAACCAATATCGTACTATTCATCCCAATATCGATACTCAAACCTTGAAATAGTTTATTTAGGTTCGTGAATCATTATAAAATAATCCTAAATGACTTGGTTTGGTTTCTAAACTTATTTTGAAGATTTAGTGAGTTGTTTATGGTCTTAAGGTATCATAAAAATGCATTATTAACCCCTAAAATGTGATGTACTTGAGAATTCAAAAGTAAGCCCTAAAATGCTCAAATCACCAAATCTTAGCAAAATCCCTAAATTTACGAAAATTTAATACTCCAAAGGATTATAAATACATTACCTTGATGTTAGAATCCCAAAATAAAGTTCATTTTCTAGCCATACCCTATTCCTTTGGTGATTTGGATGAAAACCCCTATTTTTATTTAGCTAGGATTAAACAAAGACTTTTATTCATTAAACTAAGGTTGCTAGATGAATTTAGGACAAAAATAAAACATAGAAATGACTCAAGATCTCACTTTTGTGCTATGGGTCTTAGAGAGGAAATGAGAAAGAAGCAGATGAAGAGAATATAATGATGGAATATATAAAAAGTCTCCATCTTCTTAAAATGGGAAAATTGCATAATAAGTCATTCTTTGTTTTTTCCACAATTTGAAATCCCATTTTATGGCTAATTGGGCCCAAATCCAAACCTAATTAAGCCCAATGATTTTACTTATGAATTTCATGGGGTCCACTTACCTCTTAGGTAAGCCCGAAACTACTAGCCCAGAATTTGGGGTGTTACAACTCTCCCATTCTTAAAAGAAATTTCGTCCTCTAAATTTACTCAGTCTAACCAATGACACAACCTTAGGTTAAACATTTAAGAACCTTGAAATATCTAGACTCATATCAAATCTAATTCTGAAGGAATAAGTCCTCACAATCTAACATGCAACTCGAAACTCGCCAAACCGATATACGATTTCTGAAGCATTACCAATATCAGACTTCAAGCGAAAACCTTCGAGAAGCACGTAGCTAAAAAATCACGTTCTTGCTATTTGACATTGTATGCTCGGAATGTTGCACAAGGATAACGCTACTCCTCCATTCACTGCTATCACTAAATCATTCTCTAGCCAACTTTACGCAATCGAGTTAATTCACTGCGTAACCCAATAACTCTCTTACTTACTGGATATAGGTAGATCATCATGCTACACCCTGAGATTTCATGGCACTTGCCTACACTGTCTCGATATCGGCTACTAAATATATGATGATAATCCTCGACTAATGTTGACCCCTAAGCTTCTACTGCGTGAATCTGATTTAATACTCATCCACATGACCTGACTGTTCTCATATACCTTGTGGCACACATACTCTCTACTCACCTGATAGAGCATCTATGGGGCTCACAACTGAAAATCGATCACTTATCTAGAGAAACCTGTAACATTTGAATCTCTTGGAGAATACACAACACAAAGCGGAGGTCTATAGCAACTGCACGCTGACTAGGGATTATGAGATTCTGCGTCTGACACTCATTATCACTTACCATCATTGAGCTATCTGATAACGACCAATTCTAGTCATACGATGCTTAATGAACTTGATTTTCTTTAATCATGAAGCACCAAAAGTATGTGATACTATGCAACACTGCATACTGCTATGTGTTGTATATAGCTCATGCTCATATACCAACACGAAGACATAACTAATGAGGCTTAACTCATTTAGCTGATTCACTTACTGTTCACGCACATATACATAATAACGAAATTAGAGGAATCTATGTACCTCGATACTCACAACTCATTATATTACCTATGGTACTCTTAGTACTTAGGGTGTGTGGCTAAAGTATAAAGATTGGAAATGTTTAGGGACCAAAAAGGTAATTTTAAAAAAGTTTAAGGATAAAAAATGTAATTTTTAAATGTTAAGTATTTTAGGTCACAACTCATTACATTACCCCAAAGAATGATGTTCGGGTAGAAATTAGATTCTTGATCCGAAAATTGTGTTAAAAGCTACAAAGTGTTAAAGTCTGGTAAAAATTAGGTAAATCAGATCGAATAGAAATTATGAAATTTTTTTGAAGGTTATTAAATTAAGCTTAAAAATATTATTTAAACATGTTAAAATTATGGAAAATAATATAGACCATTGGATTTGAGAATTTATCTCCATGTTTATTTTGGACCGTTGGATGAAAAATGGCAAGATTGAAATTTTGGAAAGATTACATGGGCAAAGTTGTAAAGGGAAGGAATTTTTATTCATCTTTAACTTTATAAAGATGATAAGTGTTATGTGGCTTGGTATGGATGTAAATATAAGGATTCATTAATGGTAAAATTGTCATTTGAAATTAAATGAATTTTAAATTCATTTAAGCTTAAATACATGATAAATTAACATTAAATTAAGCATAAATTTCATGAAAGTTGGGTATTTTCCAGCCCCTTAGCTGTGAGCTTCATGGAACAAAGTGAGAAATTTTATTTTACATTTTCAAGCAATTTCCTTGGGATTTTGGATCGAGTTGTGAAATAGAAAATCGTTCTATTCGTAAAACACTATCATTTGGTACCAATATTGCATGCTAATCTTTCTTGTCTTCAGATATCCCAAATTCTATAGTTTATGTTCAAGTTAGGCTTTTAAGAAATGATTAGGGCTTTTAATGCTATTAAGGTTGTAGAATCATTTACAAGCTTGATTGATGATTAAAAACACTTATACAAGACTATTCATGCTCATGTTGATTTTGGCCTAACCCTAAATTCAGGGGAAGATTGAGATTTTATGAAATTAAGTTAGGGGATTGATTGTATAGGTCTTGAAACATTGAATCGATGTTGATTTCATTCTCGAATCAAGTGAAAATTTTGAAACCCTAACCCCTAAAGTGTTCATCCCTAAGGAAAAAATTAGGAAAAAAAATTTGTGAAAAAATTCTCTAAGCTTAGAAATGATATTTGGAAGGTCCTCAAACCTTTAAAAATTATTTGAGCCAATTAGATAATTATGAAAAGTTATGGGGTTAATGTGTAATTGTTAAATAGTTGTTGTACTATGCTGGAAATTTATGTTAGAGTGTTGAAATTGATGTTAGAATGTGAAATTGGGTTATTTTGGGAAGTTGAGAAAAGTTGAGGATAAAATCATAAATATGGAGAAGTTGGGAACTTAAATGAAAGTTTCATGAGAAGTTGGGAACTTAAATGAAAGTTTCATGTGAAGTTTGGATAAATTGGATAAAAAAGAGTTGGAATGGTCACGTGAAGTGATAAAGTCAGCATTTATGTTGTGATATGGAAATTGTGTCGAATGAGCATCAAAATGTTTTTAGGAATTTATTTTCCATCGTGGGCCTATGTTAGTGAGATTATAACATGTGGTTTGAAATGTATATGTTTTATAATGATGTTCAATTAGATTATGATTAAAGTCAAGACCAAGAAAAATTAGAGTTAAGGATGAATGTGAATTTCTAAGGAAGGTTTGCAAACTAAGGACACCAGGTGAGTGCATATTTAATTCATATTTATATTATCATACAAATATTAGCTTGCGATGAGCCAGTGACGGAGTTAAAAATGTAAGAACTTACTCCTAAATGTTATATGATTTGTGGTTGAAACATGTATGTTCATTTGGTGATCTAATATAATTAGTGAATAAGCTGAAAATGCAAGTTGGTGAAACCGGCCTAGAAATTTTGTTTTGAACAGTAAGTTTATAAAATAGCCATTAAGTCTATAGAAATGATTAGAAGATGAATATTATACCTTTGGGTTCTTATACCATTCTAATTTTATTTAAAACAAATAGAACCTGATTTCAAGGATTATACAAAAAGATATGAATTTTTAATTGACGATAGGTTAGAAAACAGAGCAACATATTCTGCTCACAATAGCTTATGTAAGTCAACTTTGAAAATTCAGTATGAATTGTACAAATTGAACCATATGAAGTTACTTATATGGTTTGATTCGTATTTGAGTCTAGTTTCCATTGGTATAAATATAATAATTTTTAAGAGAGTATATTAATACAGAATAATATTTCTTTAAAGGTAGTACAAACTGTTAGAATAAGAAATTGTGATGAACTTCTTATTAGAAAAGAATTTAAAGCAGAGGATCAATCTTAAAGCTTAGCGAGGCTTATATTTTGACTTGTATAAATAGTGTTAAAGTGAGTGTATTTACTATGTACTTATATGTTATGACGACTTGCGATGAGTTAACTTCGATTGTTTTTACTAAGCATGTTTTTAACGTATTCTGAAGTATTTTCATAAAGTTTATGAAAATGATTTTATTGACTGATTTTAGGTTATGAACTTCCCTAAAACAATTGGATGTATTTTTATTCTATTTAACATCTATTGTTGTTTTGGAATAAATCTTTAATATCCATTTTGGGATATAAGAACATATTGTATGTACATTGAGAGTCATAGGTTCATTTCGACACACTTTGAGTATGATGGTTATCGACCAATTTTGTTTAATGCATTATTGCATTTTCGTACCAGTACTTTGTGTACTTGGAGTAGTACTTTGTGTACTTGGAGTAGTACTTTTTGTACTATGACACTGTGTGCAAAGATGGTGTTCATAATGAGCACTTGTTAATACCTTGAATAAGATGGTTATCGGTCGATTTTGTTTAATGCATTTGTTGCATTTTTGTATTAGTACCTATACGTACTTTCGGCACTCTGTATGTATTGATGGTGTTCATAATGAGTTTGTGAATTACCATTTCAATATATTAGTATAATGTTGTTGTTACTACGGTACCTATATTTTCGTTTAGCACTTATTTGCAATTTCTATACCTTGCATTCTCCCTTGCCATACATTGGGAAGTGAATGGATATTTTTGAATAGATTGGTTGATAGGTATTTTATGCATATGAAGTAATGTTTCACGGGTTATGTGATGAAAATTTGGCTTATCAAGTCAGTTTTATGTGTTTATATATATATTATACGATTTAATTCATATTTTGATCTTTTATGGCTTAATTATGCTTTAAAATGTTTTACTTACTCTTCTTATACCTCACTAAGTGTATACTTAGCATGTGATGATTTTCACGCGTAGATAAAAGGAGCGAGTGGAGTAAGGAGCTGATCTTGGCATAAATCATCGAATATTACTTACTGGTATCAGTAATGATGTACTACTATTGTTTTAAATTTCTAGTTGGCATGTATACGTGTAAAAAAGAGTTCGTATTGTCTTAATATGAATTTTGACACAAGTTATAGTAGAAATATATTTATTTATTAAACTATTTTATTTAAAGAAACCAAATTTTATTGGTTTTCAAGTATAGAAACATTTTAAAAGATATGCAACATCTACGACTCATGTACAGGGATGTATATGGGAAATGGGTGATACATTTATTGGTATCAAAGCTACAGGTTTAGCCGATTCTCGACAAAAAAAGAGTGTATTTTATGTGAAAAGCATGTACATGCCACTAGATGTCATTATTACTAATACGATGATTATAGGTTCGATTGATGCTACTCCTTACACAAAAAAGTGAATAAGTACAATGTAAGTATTAAATGTTTGAAACAGAGGGTTCCAGATAAGTGTCAGAATTAAAGGTTCGAGAATAAGCGAATAGTGGTTGTAACGTGGTTAATTACGACCCTCATGTTCAAATTGATTTGAGTAATGCACTGGCATGATAGGAAGTTCCAACATAAGATTAAAGAAACCCTCATTCATACGTAAGTACAATATTGGCTAAAGAAAAAGGACATTAAGTTAGAACTGATCCTATGTGATACATGTGTAACTAACCCTTTAGGCCAGAGTGCGAGGGTGAGTCATATTTTTTAGACAGCAACTGCCTATTAAAGATTCAAAGTGTTAAGCTTTATGGACTCGATATAATTACCTTTCAAAGGTAAAATTTAGTATGGATTAGTGGCCTCCTACCATGTTATAATGAATTACGCTTAAAGCGATTGATTTTAAAGAACTTGAAAAGTATCGAGATCATTTTGGTAGGAAAAAGAGTAAATATGTTTATTAGAATGATTTTAGTAGTAAATGCTATGAAGTTATTGCTAGAAGGTTGTTAAGCCTTCCTGGTAAAGAAGGTGGATACTCAAGCTTTCAAGGTTAAGTTCGAAGATATTCCATCTGTTCAAGAATATCCATATGGGTTATAGGGAGAGTTAATTGGATTATCTCCATATTGATATGTAGAATTTAAAATAAAGGTACTATCAAGTATAATGTTATTCTATAACCTTGTATGGAATGTCTCCGATTGAGCTTAGATAATTAAAGGCATAATTACTAGAATTAGTAAAATCAGGGACTTTCTAGACCAATCATGTCATATGGGATGCACAAGTTCTAGTGGTGAAAAAGAAAGACGGATTTATGCAATAATATATGGATTATCATTAGTTAAATAATGTAGCAGGGAGGAATAAGTATCCTCTTCCAAGGATTGATGATCTTTTGATCAGTCAAAAGGGTGCATTGCGTTTCTAAAGCTTGATC